TTACCACATGGGGAATGTTGCATTTAAGATGCCTTCTTATTTAAGTTACAATGTGGACATAGCTTGTTTGTTATTAAAATGTAAAAAGGCACCAGGAATTCACTCAGCTCTACTAAATTACTTCTGAGAATTTTATTTACTTGTACTGAAATATAGCCACCTATTGCACTCCTAAAACTCTGTTCCAGGCTTTTCCAGACCAAGGCAAAATTTAGTCTCCGATATTAAAGTCCTGATAAACTTAAATCCTCCCCCTGTGTTAGTTCTGCATATCTGACACTCGAAATGCTGAAACCTCAGCTCAGTAGACAACTGACATGTGCCTTACCTCCCCCTGAAACTCCAGTGAGGGAGATGGGACAAGGAGACTTCAAAACCCATTTTCCCCCAAAGACATCTTTCCTTGAAGATGTGTTTCATCATTCCCTCTGCTATGCTTGTGATGTCTCGCAGAGCAGCAGGCGGCACCTCCTGCCATGCGGTGCGCGCACAGCTCCGGGTTGTGCTGGCAGCCTCCTCCACTCAGGCTGCACACACAGTGAAAATGTCTACTCAAAGACTGTCCTACAGGAGTGAAATATCTGCCTTGTCATGAGGAATGCTTACAATTATGCCTTAAAAAGGCAGATTGAAGCTTGTCTCCTGTCTTTTCAAAGATGCACAGACACTGGCATTGTAAAGGGGTACCACACCATTAATGCAAGAAATCGTTCATTTTTCTGCAATGTGGAATGTTCTAGGAAGAATTAACAAGGAGGGAAGGCTGGCACAATACAATTCTTTGAAATCCAGTACAAAAGGGCCTATTGGACAGATAGGTAATTGTTCAACACACTAAAGGATTTCTTTAAATGGATGGATTGGCACAACACTGATCAAAAGCAGAGAGATGTATTTGTTCTGCTTCATCTCCAGACATAGTTATTCTCCCCATGGAAACAAACTTTCAAATTAGCTTAAAAGCTCACAGAACTCACAGCAGTGCTTAGTAGACATATGCACACATTCCTATGTGAAGAAAATTAATCCTTGTTGGGCTGTTGTGAATTAGAATTTAAGATTGTGCAAAACCAGTATAATAATATAAACATGCAATTCAGTTTGTTTCTGCCATTAATGATGTAATGATGTAAATGTTGAATTATTTAAATCAGTCCATTGCAGCTGGAAGATATGCTGTGTCTCAGAGAACACCTTGCTTCTGACAAACAGCCAGAATTAAAATAGGTTTTTGACTTGATAGTCTGATTGCACAGTGGACTGCAGAATTAAACTTTCCATGCAATTTAGATGTATTACCTTGAATTAGATTTTAATAAACACAATTTTGTATAACCTTAGATTCAATCCAAAAGAAAAAGCTACTCTCTGAATTCAGTTAACATGACAATTATTTGGTATTCTCTTCATAGTGCCAAGTATTATTCAAACATAGGTTAGAGAGGGGGAAAAAGGATCTAATTTGTAGCTGAAGTCTAATGTATTTGGATAAAATATTTTTATGAATGATATTGTTTTACTTCTGGCATTATGAAAAATATCATTGCATGCCAGACTGATGTTTTCTGAACTAGGATGAACACACAGAAATTTCCAGTTGCTAGTTTAGCAAATGTCATAGTTTGTTCATTTTATTTAGCTCAAAGTGAACAGAAAAAATGAGTAATTTTGGGGATTGATAATGTTGCTGGAAATAGTCTGGAAAGGGACCCCCACAATAACAAGACAGAACAATACCTTTCACAAAACCAGATATGAGAGTGTCAGGTAAGAAATTGCTTGTCCTTCCTCTATTGATACTATAACTTGCCTTTTCTACAGGCAGGAGATTGTGATGATGAAATAGAACCAGAGCATCATAAAATTACAGAATCATCAAATGGTCCGGGTTGGAAAGCACCTTTAAAGATCATTCCATTTCAAAATCTCTGCCATGGTCAGGGACACATTTCACTGAACCAAGTTACTCAGAGCTCCATCCAACATGACCAGGAGCAATTCCAGGAATGGGGCATCCACAGCTTCTCTGGGCAGCCTGTGCCAGTGCCTCAACACACTCACAGTAAAGAATATCTTACTTATATCCAGTCTAAAGCTACCCTCTTTCAGTTTAAAATCATTGCCCCTTGTTCTGTCACTAGAGGTCCTTGTAAAAAGTCTTTCATATAAGCCCCATTTATATGCTGAAATAAATTAATTAATTCTCCTCCATTTTTTAAAATAATTTTTTATGATATAAGAACACAGACAAGGTAGATGCACATAGCAAATAAATGGATAAAGCATATTTGAGTAAGGTTATGTGGAGTGTTATCAGTGAGGTCACTGAAAACAGAGAAACAACTTCTCAAAGATTCAATGAAACCTGGCACACCATATGTATCACAGATGCAGTGCTGGACTAGGCATGAACCTGAATGTAAAATGGATTTAAGTATCTGTGGAAAACTGTCCTTTCACCCAGAAGGAGTTTAAGATCAAGTTAGTTCATGATCACATTTATTTCTAAAACATATATTGCTTGGTCTAGAGCTCTATGTTTACAGATTTATATTTTATTATTTGCTTACTGTATGTGTGAATACATATACCCCTACATACAATAACACATGCAAAAATGAGTCCCTGGGAATCCCAACTGTAGGGTTACTGTGGCTACTTTGACAAAAAAACATGAAAAAGCTCTTAGTTATATGAATCTGTTGGATTTTCTTCCACTTCTATGTTTTGCTCTAAAATTGTTAAATCTTATCTTTATTTGTTATTTTCTTCTCTGGGCATCAGACGGAGTTCTCTTTTGGGAACTTCTGAGAGGACAAAGTCCATGATCATTGCCAAACACATGGGAACACTCTGTTGGCTGTCAGGTAAGAAACAGGTTAGGGCAGCCACAAGGCTGTGGACTAAGAAAGCTTCAGCATTTTCTAATAGACATGCTGCTACTCTTGATCTAGGATGCCTGTAGACTTGTTTGCAACTGATCTCTCATGAGGCAGGGCCAAACCCTTGTTAACTGGTGCCTGGGAAAGGCCTGTCCAAGCACCAGACCAAGAGTACAGCCAAGCTTGTGCAGCAGCTTCTGCAAGAGAATGCAAAAAAGGGGTCCTCAGATTAATTTGTTCCATCATAAAGAGTTTCGGGTGTGGTGGTGACACACTACAGAGTAATTTTCTCCAGGGCTGGAGTAGCTGCCCCTGAAGTTGCTCTGTCAGAGCTTTTATGTGGATGGAACTTTCAATGGTGGATGCAGCACTTCAAGTCCCAGGCTTCAGTGCCCATTCTTGATGCCAGGAGACAAGCAAGGCCTTTTTTCCTGTCGATCTGTGGTCTTGGAGGAACTGCACCATCAAGCACAGGATTATGTATGCAGTGAAAACAACAGTGTTGTTGAAAATAGCCCAACAAGATGGGTACTATTGTTAGGCTTTCCCAGATCAAGGCAATTTTGTGGTAAATTCCACAAAAACATGAGTGGATGAGTCAGACATATGTGCACAGGCTCTTATCCATATAGAGAATTTTAACCACTGTGATACCTACTGGAGGGATAAGACAGTAGGGCATAAGCATTCCTGGAAGTTCCTGAAGGGCATCGACAAGAACTTCCAGACTCAAGTGACAGAGCAGACAATGAGGAGAGATGCTGTGCTGGACCTCATACCAGCAAAGAGGGACTCTCTCTATTGGGATGTGAAGGTCAAAGGCAAGGTCACTTGGCAGTGACCATGAGCTCCCAGAGCTCTAGATTCTCAGAGGAGGAAGAGGGCAAAAAACAAGCCCCAAGATCCTGGCCTTGAGATGAACAGACTTTGGCCTCTTTGGGGATCTTTCAAAGGATCTCACAGTGAGACTATAGGGAGGAGTGGCCCAGAAAGCTGGTTAATATTAGTATTCAGGAGATCCAAGCTCAATGAGTGGGGCAGGGGACCTGGTGACATAGGAAATGGAAAAAGCTCAAGTACTGTCTTCTTCAGTCTCAGGTCCTAGACACTGGGAGGAAAGTCTGGGGGAAGGAATTGGAAGATATAACGTCACCAGTTCATGGATCCTAACAGTGTGTAGTCAAAAATGCTGGGGGTGCTGACTGATGTCATGTCAAAATCATACACTGTGAACAACCAGGAAAACTGGGAGAATTGTCTGTGTTCTGGAGAAAAGCAATGATCACTCCTGCCTTACAGCAGAGCAAGAAGGAAGATCCAGGGAACTACAGGCTTGTCAGCTTGCTTTTGATCTGTGAGGCTGTGATGGACCATTTGTTCCAGTGACATGGAAAGAGATGAAGATGATCAGGGGTAGCCACGCTTGACAACCTGATCATCTTCTTTGAAGAAATGACAGGATTGGTACATGAAGGGCAAGGAGAGGATGTTCCCCATGTAGACCTCTCTAAGACCTTTGACACTGTCTTCCATAAGACCCTCATAGATGAGCTGATGAAGTATGGGATGGAGGAGAAGACAATGAGGTGAAATGAAACTGAGTATAAGGCTGGGACTAGACGTTTGTGATCAGTTGAAGGTCAGTAATTTGTGGCATATTTCAGACACCAGTCCTGGGTTCAATGCTGCTCAACATCCTCATTGATGTTCTGGGAGAGGGAACTGCATGTAGGCTCAGCAGGTGATCCTTCCTCTCTCCTTACCACTTCTGAGGACACATCTGGAGTCATGTGCCTGAATCTGCCTTCCCCAGTACACCATACACATGGTGGTCCAGCTAAGGGCCACTAAGATGATGAAAGAAGTGGATCACGCCATATATGAGGAAAGGCTGAGTGAGCTGGGACTCCCCAACTGCAAGTAGAGAAGGCTCAGAGATTAGGCAGGTTTTAAAGCTTGTTTTATTTTGTGCTGAATGCCTTCAATATTTCACCCATATCAACAACGGAAACGGTAGGTGCTGCTTTTGTATAGCATTTTAATAATTTCCTGTGTTCTGCTTTACCACTGACCTGAACCTGTGGATAGAGAAAGAACATACTCTAGGAAATGACTTACCCTCCTTCTTCAGAATATTTGTGACCAAAGGCAAGGATGTCAGATGCTCGGCCACTGCCATCGCAGATCACAACGGGAACAGGAGGAGTGTCTCGCAGGTACTCCAGAACAATGGAGATGACATTGGGACCTCCTTCCACAATAAGGGCCACCACTGGAACCCCTTGGCCAATTCCTGGAGCAAAAGAAAGAAAGAAACAAACCAAACGAAAACAACACAAAGCAAAACAGCCAACCAACCAAATAAAAAAACCACAAACGCACACAAAACAAATAAATAAATGAATGCAACGAAAAAGAAATAAAAAAACCCGCAAAGCCAGCAAGGCAAACGGAACATAACAGAAGACAGAAGAAAAAAGAAAAATCAGACTAAAATTTTGCATTATGACTGTACAGTGTTATGTTAGAGAAAATGCATTCAGTAAATCAGGTATCTTAAGGACAGATGGGACCAGTGTAGCCATCTCATCAGTTCCACTGCATAAATCAGTATTTTCTAAAATCATCTCTTGTTTCAAATACAATAGTTATATTTAAATAGACATATATATATATACATATAATATATATATCTTAAAGATAAAATCTTGTTTTGAAACCATAAAGAAGCTACTGCATTTCTTCCTCACATGTTCATAATCAGGACTGGTATCTTGCTTGTAGTCTAGCTTTTGCATGATGTCAGCTTCCCATCACTGAGTCTTCCAATAGTTTTGCTTGCTGTTTCAAAATTACCTCTATAATATTTTTCCCGCTGGAAAATCCTGCATGGGATCCACTCTGAGGCTGCAGCTGGGCAGCCCTTTAACCTCCTCTTCAATAAACTAAACACAATCTGTTGCAAGCCAGCGCTATACTTGTTTTTCAGTTCTAGTCAGTCTCACAGTTTTTCTCTGAATTCTCTCCAGTTTTGCAGCATATTCCTTGATTTGCAGACCCCACACCAGAGACATTGCACCAAAGAGAACTGAACTTGTGCTTAACCAAAGGAAAGGCATCTTCATTTTATGCACCTTTGGTGTAATTACATGGGAGCCCTCTGCAAAAGTTGTAACACAGACTGACAGGAAAGTTGTGTGGATTTAGAGAAAGGCAATCTGATGCCAGGCTGGTGTTAATATATTTTATGATAGTCACTTCTTGACCAGTTGAGACTGGGGACATTCAAAAGGAATCAGAAAATAGAAGATGTTGAACATTTTCTATTAGCATTATTTTCCTGAAAGAAGCTTTTTTTCCTTTCCAAGTAGCTTTGTCTAAGAAAACCTATATACATTCTGCACAAAATTCTGACATTTTATTAGAAAACAAAAATAAAAGGAGTGTCCTTCACTATTAGTAGCTGGGTTGGAAAAAAGTTGCACAAAGCCAGGTAATAAAAGTTAATATGTCTGATGAAGTTTTCATTTAGAGTCAGTTCAATTCTCAGAAGCAAAGGTAAGCCTGTGAGCCTGGAACATTAGGTTAGACCCTCTAGAAATATTCACAGATCAAATGATTTTCAATAATTTTAGGGACTTGAATTACTGTCAAAAATGAGATAAATTATTCTTTAAGAAAGAAAGAAAAAAACCTAGTTTGTATAGATAACAGGAACATATTCTAGGCATTTCCTGAAACATTTTGAAGGAAACATTATGTTTCCTAAAGTGACTCTCAGCATGCCTTTTTATGCCTCTGTCTACTGTTAGTCTGTGGTTTTTTTGTCACAGAACTTAGGTAAAATGTGTGGTGTTTATTTATGTGAAGAAAACTACCAGTAGAATTATAAAATGTAGGTTAATGAAAGAGCATAGGAAGGATGGAGTATAACAAGGTGATTAACAGAATGATTTGCACAGAATCAGGGGTTAATTTTTCTAATAATATTAAGGACTTCTCTTAATTGCTGTTCTACCCAATCTAGACACCTGATAATAAGATAATATTAAGAAGTATTCTTAGTAATGTCTCAAATTGTGTCTGCATGACATGGAGGATTAATAGAAATTGAGAAAGTTCACAATTTGAGATGCAAAGCCACTTATATGGTTTTTAATAAATCCTTCTGTAAACTGGAAACTCATTAGGAGGAAATACTAGAAAAGCTGATGACAACAGAATTGTCTTTGGTATAGCAAGACTACAAGGAAAAGTTATGATCCTGGAATACACACAGCAAAACATCTTCAGGAGGAAACAGGGGCAACTCAGTGCTGTTGTGCAAGCCACTCAAGAAATTCCATCCAAAATACTATCTGTACTTGTGCTCAGGCTTGTTCAGAAGGAACAAACTGAAATGAATGGAGGAAAAAGCCAAAAGGAGTGTATGGAGAATTAAGATGTCATCTTATGAGACAAGATTCAATGAGTTTGATTCATCTTCCTTAGCAAATTAAGGGGAAAAGGACACCATGACTGAATACCCTCATGACATACAGCATATTAGAAATTTAACAGTATTAGATGGAGGTCAGAAGATTCCTGGTTATCATATGAGTGAAGTCTTTACAGCCTTCTTATAAAACTAAGAGGAAAAACTTTTTGTATTGAAATGATGCTCCAATGCTCACTAATCATAATAATTGCAGTTGCCTTATGTATCTCAAACTGTTCCTGAAGCAGGTTCTGTCTTCCTGATGGAAGTCTCTTAATTTCCAGTGTTTTCTACTGGATAAATAATTCTCATAATATCAATAATCAGGGTTAGTCTAAACAGCTGAAATACTTTTACCTTTCTGGGCCATTTGAAAATATGTCTAAAATTTCTTTTGCAACCTTTAACCTTCCTTTTACATTTTTTAAAACATATATATATATATATGAGCCTTCATAGTCACAAGAGTTGCCTGGCATACAGAAGTTCTCTTTAAGTGTTCCAGTTGTCTTTCATTGTAGTTAATAAGATGGCAGTTTTTCTGTTCTCTGGCTCTTAGAAATACATTCAGCTTGAAAACAATCCCCTTATTTGAGAGTAGTAAAAGAAAATAACTTTTCTCCAATTCAGGCTTCAATGAAACTTTGTAGCTTTAAGTTAAAAAACCCAAACCCAAACATAAGTTAAAACAACCAAGCTCAGGTGAACCTTGGTTTATCACATACAACTGAGTTCCAGATTGAACTGCAACAGTTTTATCATTCTGACACATTTCATTGTGAGACAAAAAAACATTTAAACACAAACTTGATTTATATACCTTGTTCTTTGGGAAATTCTCTCTGAGTTATGGAAAACAGATGTTTTTTTATTTTAAATGCTACTGTTCTCCATAAATAATCTGGGTTTGGAAAAATCTACTTTTTTTAGTTTGGTGAGCAAATTATTCCAGTTAATTTCTGGATTTAGAAATAATATTTAAAATTAATCAATAATACTTTGTTGATATTTCTTCAAAGTATAAACACTTCTGGCTTTCAGGAAAGTTCTCTTGACTACAGCTGTTTCAATCCTAATGTTATGAACTTCCACAGATCTATGACAATTAATTTCTGAGCACTAATGGTAACCACAGTAAGAAAGAAAGTCAACAGACATGGTGAAATAACAAAATATTATGCCTGCTCGAGTACCTCAGAATTTCAAAAAATGGGTAAATGAGAATTACCACATCCTCACATTTCTATGATGTTCCAAATCATATTTAAACTAGTTATGACATTATATTCATTTCAAAATAAAAAAAACTTAGTTAGTTGCACCAAGATGCCTGTAGCTCAACAGCTCTCAGCCAAAATGCAAAGCAGATTTGAATTAAACTTTTAGATATCTTGATACCAAAATTTTCCTGGATGCTTCCCTGCTGCTAAATATTAGGAATTTGGAAATGAATGCAGAGGGACTGCATAAATATTTCAGTGTGCCTGAAGACGTTGACTGACTATACTAACCCTGCATTTATAACTATGAAATTGAGTTGAAGATGATGTGAAGTTGAGAACTGACTGTGCTTTGCCTTTAATGCAACACTGGGACCATTTGGAGAATGTTGGCATATGATGCCAGCAAGAACCTCTTACTTTGAGGAAAAGGTAGCTGATAGACCTCTCTTTAACTGCTAATCAAAATATGTTTCCTTCTAAATCTCCTCAGAAATAAAAGAATGAGAAATTGTTTTTAGGTACTCTTTTTCAGCTTGTGCATGCACAGTATTTGATAGTCTGCAAAGAAGGGCCTGGCAGTGCCTGATAGATCCACAGGGAGCCTTTGGTTTCAGACGCTTCATTTGGAAAGATAATGGTAGGCTGTGAGGTGAGATGCTAAATGTGGAGGTAATACATTCCTTACAATGTCAAGGACATCATTACAAAAAGAGTTTCTTGCTCGGGCTGAGATTGTCAGAAAGGAGGCAGTGCCAAAATGAAATCTTGCTGACATAAAACCAGACTACAGTACTGGAACTGCTGTCTCCTACCACACATCCAGAAGGTGGGAACTTTATGCCAAGCACTATAGTGGACAGCCCAAAAAATCAACAAGGAGAAAGTTTTCCCTTCAGGTGTTTTTGTGGAATTTACCAAAAAAATTGTTACAGTCTGGGAAAAAAACTAAGGGTAGCACTCATCTTGTTAGGCTATCTTCAACACACTGTTGCTTTCATTAAGCAAGGACTCTAAAAGTATACAACCTTAAAAATAGTGTGTTTCATATCTTATTAACTGGAAACAGAGTAGCATTAATGCACTACACTGAAATAGTGCACAATCTGAAACTGCAGAGAAACATTTTTTGTACAGGGCAATGCATTATTATCAGGAAAGACTATCACTTGGTACTGTTTTCTAAACACAGAAGAAAGTACAATTAATTTTTACATATCTGAGTACTTTTTTTTCTGTTTCCTAGAAGGCACTAAATGATGTTAATCACCTTTTTATGCAATATCCTTTGTAGAGAAACCTTTGAAGTTCAGGTGAATTATTCTTAAGTATCTGAAAAGTAATGGACATCTGATAATTACATGGAAAATTTCTTTTTAAAATTACTTAGTGCACTTTTTAAAGCATTTCTAGGATGAGCTTTGATTTCAACAAATCTTTTTTTCCATTTGGAAGATGGAGGAAACGAATTCTTTAGCAGTATACCTGTGGACTTAATTGGTTGTGAATGCTGACTAATATGTTATCAAGGTGGTGTTTACGACTTAGTTAACTAATAGTTCAAGATGATAGGTATCTGCAAAATAAAAGGTCTTC